GGCAAGTAATACTGTGGAATGCGTGAAAAATATACATATCGTAATATTTTGTTGTAATAGGTTTATATGGGAATAAGTGTAATAATGAAGAGCAAACGTCGTAAAGTGTAAGAGGGAAGAATAACACCATAACTCGTGGATAGCAAAAAAATAAAAAGATGTTTTTTCTCGTTTATTGCAGACCTTGCTAATACGTAGAATTATATAACATATGAAGAGTGATCCGGTAATAGAACTTTTTCAGAACTTTATATCAGTTAATTGGTTTTCATCCTAACTTTCTTATACTTTACTTCAAAGTATTTTATAGATTTCTGAAAAAAACGCTTATTTTGATATCTTATCTTCTTAAAAAACAAAAATACGAAACCTACCATCAACTAGTATGATGACTTTAATTAAAGCAGCGACCTCGCTCATCGAATGACTGTTGCTAACTCTTTTCATTTAAACTCACCCCGCATTGGCACAGCGGTATGTCTGCGGACTTACAACTTCGATACCTGTGGTGGGCATAGCACAGACAGGCTATTGCGTAGCTTTGTGCTTAATTACAAACAAACGAACAAAAATCATTCAAACTCAACAATGTCAGCTAAATACGGAGTTATGTATGGCTAAAGGCCAGTATAGAAAAAAAAAGGAAATAACTGTAACTAACTTTTCTCTTTATTGATTCTTTTAATTTAAATTACACTCTATTGCTCACTGTAATACATTTTATTAGAGCTAACTCAAAATGGCAGACTAAATCTTGATGCAATACTACTTCTTCTTAAAATAAAACATAGCCTACTACAGCAAATTGAAAGAGGGGATAAAATATGAAGTAGGGGTATTTTTGTGTAAATTTAGTAACTTAATTTTCTAGATTTTAATGAAATAAAAATTTAACGAACATACTAAATAAAGCTCATTTTTATACATTTATAACTATTTGAAGAGCACCATCTGTCAATGCACGAAATGTTGTGGAACACTACGTTGTAAATGCAAGAAATACCGGAACATGAGAATGTGAGAATGTCAGAAACATAGGAATGAAGCTGTCTGTCTGAATAAATAAGGTGTGAGAGCTTCAAGTAAATAAATGTATTTTCATATATGTATGAAAAAAGCATCACATACAAAACCTTTTATTTTAATGTATTTTCGTAATACAATGATGTGAGTAAATGACATTGGAAATAACGAAAGGAAGGTAAGACTTCTATTTTTGAAGTCTTCTCTAAAGATGTAAAAGTTTCATAAATCTAATTCACATTAAGTTTTAATTGGTGTGAAAACAATTTTAGCAATATTCGCACAAACTAGATACAGTCAAAAAATAAATATTATTCACGTTAAGTTTTAATTTGTGTAAAACCAATTTTAGCAATATTCGCACAAAATAAATATAGTCAAAATATAAATCTAATTCGCGTTAAGTTTTAAATTGTGTAAAACCAATTTTAGCAACATTTGCACAAAATAGATACAGTCAAAATTTTAGTTTCCTCATTCCTAAGAAACATTATTTGATTTTTTTCAATAGTGTGTACTGGTTGTAGCAGGCAACTTATTTGAAAGAGTTTATGAAAGAAGACATGCCCACGGGTTTCATTTTAAATTTATAAATTAATTCCTTGGAATTACAGAAAAAAAAGACTGTTGTATTTTGATCCTTTCCTGACAAAAGAAAACTGGGTAACCTAAATGTTTGGATCCAAATTAGTTTTAAAATATCCAGTTTTATCCAAAGATTACCATACCCGTCACATTTTCTGATTTCTACACTAAAAAAAAATAAAAAAATATTAGTATGTTCTGAAATGCTTGATTTTGTTAATTTAGGATTTTACCCAAACATTTTAATATTTTGTATGTTCATTTTTATAAAAGTTTTTATACCAGCATTCTTTAGTGTGACCAGTTAAGGATTTTTTCAACAAAGTTGAAATTTGAGATCACTGTGGTGTGGAATTTATAATCTATTAATTAAAAAAATACATATATTTGTGATAATTTTACTTTTTTAATGTTCAAATCCATAAATTTTTCTTTGTTTATTTCAATGAGCAAAATAATTATGAAACATTGTGAAATTTATGTATTACTGGGTACTAGCTGGAGTACCCGTCCGTTGGATTGGTGAAATAAAAATAGGAAATTGTGCTTGTATAGTTTTTCTTAACATAATAAACATTAGAAGTGCAATAAAAATACATAAAGGTGCAGATACTGAAAAGAAAAACATAGTGTTTTCGAAAATTCTATCAATATGAAATTAGATCAACCCCCTCTTGATCTTCCTCATGTCATCCTGTATCAATGTGTGAAGTAGTGCTGATGGTAGATTTTCCGAAATTAGATGGGAGTCCAACCCCTTCCCACCTCATGACCTTCCTCATGTCATCCTGTATCAAGTTTGAAGTTGTGCTGATTTGGTAGTTTTCCGAAATTAGATATTAAAATAGATGGGGGTATCCAACTTCCCCACCTCATGACTTTCCTCATTTCATCCTGTATCACTATGCCAAGTTTGGTGCTGATTGATCAAGAAATGTGGAAACGTATGAAGAACAAACTTATTGACGTTTATTTATATAAATATGCTTCTGATATAACATAAGATATCTAGCTTTTCCATTTAGGAATTCTACAATAGGAATCAATAATTGTCATGTGTTATTGAGTATAGACAGCAATAGCGCCCATTCTACATAGAATATGTAACATTTAGTCCATCTTCGTGTACGAACATTAATCAAACAAACTTCTCTAGTTGTACATGTTATATACTTTGAGACTATTTATAATCTGTCACTGATATTGTACGGTCCCGTGCCTGCACAGCTCAGATAAACGTGAAGAAGATATAAACTCAGGTGAAACGATAAAGGGATCAATTACAGGTTTGAACTAAAAGTGTTTAAAAATGCTAACTAATAACACGTGTACAGTGTCAAGAAAAATTATATTGCTTTCAAGAGTGTAAAAACTTGAATTCTCTTGTAACACTAGGGTTTTCTTCGCAAGGTGAATAATGTTTCAATGTGTTATCTTGGCATTAGAATAAAAAAGTGTGTTTAATGTTGTTTATAGACTAGAGCAACAAACATTACTAAAATTACCCTAATATCAAGTGTTACTGAAGATGATGTGATATTAGAATATGAAGAGTTGCTAAAGTTGCTTTAATAATAGAGTATCAAGTGTAACTAAAGTTGCCTTGATAATTGAGTGTGAACTATTACTAAAGTTGTGGTTACAATAGATTAGCGAGTGTTACTGAAGATGATGTGATATTAGAATATGAAGAGTTGCTAAAGTTGCTTTAATAATAGAGTATCAAGTGTAACTAAAGTTGCCTTGATATTTGAGTGTGAACTATTACTAAAGTTGTGGTTACAATAGATTAGCGAGTGTTACTGACGTTTCCTCATTATTAGTTACTAGTTGGAGTACCCGTCCAAAGGACGGGTGAAACAAGAATTCGTTGGTAACAAAGGTTAGGAAATTGTGCTCTTATTTGTCTTAACATAATAAGCATTAAAACTGCAATAAAAATACATAAAGATACGAATACTGAAAAGAAAGATATACTGTTTTCAAGAATTCTAAAAATATGAAATTAGATGATGAGATCAAAACTTCTGTATGTCATCCTATATCACTGTGTCAAGTTGTGATGATTATTAGTTGTTGTTTTTTTTTCTAAATAAGATATGAAATTAAATTGGAGGTCCAACGACCCTCCGCCTTATGACCTTCCTCATGTCATCCTACATCATTGTGTCAAGTTTGGCGCTGATTGATCAACAAATGTGGAAACGTATAAGGAATAGATGGCTGAAAGAAGCGAACAAACAGGCTCAAACTTAGTTTTATATATTAGATAAATTTCTAAAACTGTTTGTATGTTAAGGTACCTTATCCTTATAGCTTACTTCATACCCTAGACACTATGTGGACTGGGAGTGTTCTTGGTATTCGAGTGCATTGAATTAACTTCGTCTTGAAATGATAGGATTTTATATGAACATAATTATCTTGAAGTTACGTACTCCTATAGTTTTGGTAAAAAATTAGAGAAACAGCATATTAGTAATGTTATCTTGGCATTCGAGTTACCATTGTTATTATAGTAGCTTTAGCACTAATATCATTCATATTAACTGAAATTTTCTTATTCTACTAAAGTGCAATTACAATACTAGAATTGTTTTATTATCGTATAGTGTCATGAATTACTAGATAGAATTCACTTGATGTTACATAGTAACGGTATTACTAGAATTCACTTGATATTATAACCTATATATATATCATTAGAGTATTCTTGGCATTATAACCTATCATATTTTATACTTTCCTTGATATTATAGATCATCATGTACTGCTAAAGTTATAGTAATGTTATAGAGAAAGAAATATGTCTACAACTTTATTTTCATAAAGACAATTTATATTACTAGCTTTCCTATAACATTACAGTGATGCTTATAACTAACTTTTCTGATTCGATAATATATTTTATTTGTTAGACTTGTATTAATATTATAGTGAGTTAATTTACTAGAGATGTTCAGACCATCTGTATTTCAAGAATTTTCTTTCCACAGAGAATCGTATAATATTAACGTTATCGAGATACTAAAGTATGTAAGGTTCGTAGTGTTAGAAAACTGGCTTTATCAGAAAGTTCTTGATAAGAACGAACTTGCATTACTACTAGTTAGGTTGGACGCAGTGTAACGTGTACTGTTCTATTATTTTGATAACCATCTATTACTAATTTGATTTCTTATTAACGTATCTTATGTGACTAGAGCTATCTAGATTTTAAAGTAACTTATTTGCAAATAGTTTTTGTCAGTGAAAAATGTCTAATTTTATTACCGTTGTCTTGATGCTAACTCTATTTGTACTACTAGGTATTCTAGTGGTAATAACATGCTCATTCAACTGACGAACACTGTCTAAATAATCAAAAATGTAAAAAACACAAAATATCATACCTGTATTGTTGTCTGCTTGTCTACAAACAATGTGCCCAAAGACACTACAAACGATCACTAAGTCTAAAATCAAAAACGTGTTGGCACACATGCGTTCACTATCTTGTGGTCTGCAAAGCATCCTCTTAGAAACGTATAACATTTATGTTGGCTGGCATGGCAACGGTCTCGGACCATACCGACCGACCTAGGTCCGTTATGTTAATCAATGGTGAATGTTTTTACCAGAAATTCTAAAACTAGGTATCTTATATAGAACATACAACGTTCTCTTTTCAAGATGATGTGTATGGTTAATAACGTTCTTTTTACTCAGTCTTCCTTATTCCTACAAGTCTAGTGCGGTTTAATGTGCTGGTGTGCTTGACGGTTTGTCTGACTCCGCACACATCCCAAGAAACGTCAGCTGAGCGTCCGAGACTCTTATCGACTCATGCGGCAGATATCACGTGATTTGATGACGTCACTCCGTCAGCTAACTTGTAATACTAGGGGTCAGTATTACATCTCATAAAATAAGTAAACTCTTTTACTTCTGAATAGTAGTAGTAGTAAAGAAGGGTTTTCTATTTTTTTTCTTATTTTTAGTTCTAGTTTCTAGGATTCTGTTAGTTCCTATAGCGACTTTAAGGCAATTTTATTTAAACCTAACTTTATCAAAACCTTCCTCGCAACAGTTGGTTATTTTAATGTAATTAGCTTTGTATAATCTTTACAATTAATCTGGTGTCTTCATTTATTGCTATGTTTGTTTATTTTTTAATGTTCCCAAATCGATTTATTAATCATCTACTATGATTACAAACATTAACAGTAAACTTAATATTTTAGGTTTCCTTGATATCCTTTATCGGGAATTAAAATATGTTTGAATAATTAAGAATCCATAACGTTAGCCTTTAGCAGGATAAGTATAATCCTGTTGCAAACTCAAATCCTTAATAAATTAGGTTTAGCTTTGGTGCAATTAACCGATTTCACATTATGTAAGTATATTTATAGTTGAGAATTATTTAAATATCTACCCCTCCCCCTCAGTGACTTAGCGGCAAGTCTAGAGGATTATAACGTTCAAATCCGGATTTCAAAACGCGTGGTGCACTCATCAGAGATAGCCCATTGTGTAGATTTGTGCTATATAAACATCTGTAATAGTTGAGATACAATACAACAATATTTTTAACATTTACCTATAGCTGTAAGTATTTTTTTTATGTGCAACATATAACTCCACCAACTTTTAAAAGTTACCTACATTTGAGTTTGTACTCCATTAATCATTACAATGAAAACAAAAAATATGTCACATTTATGTTAAAGACATATTGTGTTTATCAACTTGACGACGACAGTTTCGTTTGAAGACATACTGTGTTTATGAACCTGACGACGACAGTTTTGTTTAAAAACACACCGTGTTTATGAACCTGACGACGACAGTTTTGTTTAAAGACATACTGTGTTTATGAACCTGACGACGACAGTTTTGTTTGAAGACATACTGTGTTTATGAACCTGACGACGACAGTTTTGTTTGAAGACATACTGTGTTTATGAACCTGACGATGATTTTAGCATTACACAAGACGTTTTTCGTCTCTAGTGATGAGGAATCTTCACATTCAATGTAGTTCAAAGTCACGTAAAGTAAATTCATCATCATTATTACCTAATGTCAAATATTAACAACAGGCGAGTTCTCTCTTCAGTTCTCTCTCTATATATATAGGAATAATTTGTATAATGATTATACACAAAATGATACGTTTGTCTGAACGAAACATTAATGATATAGTAACATATTAATCAAAGATTTAAAACAAAGAATATCTAGTAGATTCTAGAATCAAGGTGAAACAAACAGATAAATTATAATTATAAGGGTACGAGGATTTTTACACTCAAGTAAGTTTGTTTGGAATTAAGCACAAGGCTACACAATGGGCTATCTGTGATCTGCCCACCACGGGTATCGAAACCCGAGTTCTAGCGTTGTATGTCCGCAGACACACCGTTGTGCCACTGTGGGGGGGGGCACACTCAAGTAGCTGGTCCTCACAGCAAACCTAAAGAACCTGTATATTAGGTGACGAGGATTCGAACCTGTGAGTCACATATTGTGAGCTCAGCGCCCTAACCACCAGGCTACGCCAGGCCGTGAAATCTCAAAAAATGTCGCCAGATCACAAATATTTACTTCAATTATTGAGCAAGCTTCCTTGTAGTATACCTTATAGGTAAAATATAAGTACAGAAGAATCCACAGTCTACCTGAAAAACTAAATTGGAAAATTGTGTTGAATACGCTCCGCACCTTCAGCTGCGAAGGCGTTACAACTATTACAGACGATCTCACTTTGAGACTAGGTAGTGGTTGTTTACTTTCCTTCTGGTCAGAAGCTCTAAATTGTTAGGTCGTCAAGAAATAAATGTCGCTTTTTTTAAATGAAAAATGCCAAACAACTTATATATCAAAACAAAACATTTATTAAATGAAATAGTCTCCACTCTTATCAATGATGCTTTTCCATCTTACAATCAGGTTGTTAATGTTTTGATTAAAGAAATCACTTGGCTTGAAGCAAAAAATATGTCGATGTCTCTTTAATACCTTTCTCATTTGCATACGTTTTCCCATTAAGATGGTGTTGCAGCGAAATAAAAACATAATAATATGATGGTGACATACCTAGAGAATATGGTGGGTGGGGGAGAACTTTCCAACACAACTCCATAATCTAGTGTTGCGTCAAACGTGCCACACGTACACGTGCATTGTCATGGAGAAGAAGAACACCTTTACCTATTGACAAGTGAAGGGCACTTCAGATGAAGAGCTTGATTTAAACGTTCCAGTTGCTGACTATAGATATCTGCATTGACATTTCGCTGTGGATTGAGGAGTTCGAAATGAATTACTCATTTGATGTCCCACCAAATGTAAAGCATCAATTTCTGCGGATGGAGTCCAGGTTTTGGGGTCGGAAATGGTTTTTTTCTAGGACTGAGCCATTGTTCTTGGCGTTTAATATTCGCATAGAGAATCCATTTTTCATCACCGGTGAAAAGTCTGTCCAAAAATGGTTCACGCGCATTACACGCCAGAAGAGACGAAGCAACATTCTTACGTTGGAAACGATGATCATTGGAGAATGTGTGAGGCACCCAAACACCTTCTTTATGTAGTTTTCCCATATTCCTTAGAT